AAAGGAGGCATAAAGCCCTTTCCGCCCGCGCCCCCCCCCCCCTGCCCAGCACTGCTCCGGCTGCATCATGCTCACTCTGAGCTCCAGGCTCCTCCTAAGCCTGCGCCGCAGTCTCCACTGGCTGCCATCATGATCATCTACCGGGACCTCATCAGCCCTGATGAGATGTTCTCCGACATCTACAAGATCCGGGAGATCGCAGACGGGCTGTGTCTGGAAGTGGAGGGGAAGATGGTCAGTAGGACCGAAGGGAACATCGATGACTCCCTCATTGGTGGCAGTGCCTCAGCTGAAGGGCCCGGTGGTGCTACAACAGAAAAAACACTGTGGTCACTGGTGTTGATACTGTCATGAACTTGCAGGAAACCAGCTTCACAAAAGAAGCCTACAAGGAGGACATCAGAGATGACACGAAATCAATCAAAGGCAAACTTGAAGAGCAGAAACCAGAAAGAGTAAAGCCTTTTATGACAGGGGCTGCAGAACAAATCAAGCACATCCTTGAAAATTTCAAAAACGACCAGTTCTTTCTTGGTGAGAACATGAATCCAGATGCATGGTTGCTCTGCTGGACTCCCGTGAAGATGGTGGGACCCCGTATAAGAGCTTCTTTCAGGATAGCTGAGAGATGGAGACTTGTTAATAACATGGTGGACAACTCATGACCGATCGCCTCTCATCCTAACTGGCTACTGCTCATCCACACGACACCAGGACTGAGACAAATGGAACTGATCTCATTGTGACCTCTTCATTTACTTTTGACCTTGATTTATTTGGAGCGGAAGCTTTTTTTTTTTTTTTAAAGGGGAAAAAAAACCGTCGTGTAGGTTGTCTAAAAATAAAATGCTCCGCCTGATCTGATCCCACCGCACCGAGGCAAAACACTAAGGGCGGGGAACAGAACAAGGGGAACAGAGCAAGGAAGTCCCCAGGGAATACCAAAAATAGACTTTGGGGCCAGGGCTTGGTGCCCCTTCAGACTCCACCGGAAAACACTCCTAAAGGTCAACAAACAGTCCTTGAACTTTCTTGTTGTTGTGTTTTGTTTTTTGTCATTGGCTTGTTGTTGCTTTGTTTTATTTTGTTGCTTGGTTTTGCTCTGCCTTGTTTTTGTGCATGTTATTATCTCTGCAGGTCTGT